TCCAACAATGCCCACAAGGCGTGTTCCACCAAACTGACCCGAACCCCGGGTTCGCAACCATTTTCCTGGAAATCTGTTCCGAACCCAGGATTAGGTGCACTCCCCAATAATTTCGCATTTTCGCGTGACCCGTTGCGACCCACTGCAACATGACATCCGCGGCTTGGCATTGCTTTGTGCTTTGCGGCCTTGCTTGACATTGCGTCGGTTTGCTTGGCATTCATTCGCATGCCTTGCAATTCCTTCGCTTGGAATTCCTTCGCACCTGAGCCACGAGCCGGCCGATGTGCGGGCCTACGAAGGCCTTTTGTCGTCATTCACTGCCAGAGATGTCTGCAAGCGTGTACGTACACATAACCCCCCCCCGACGGCGCCATCTCTTCGCCTCCTCCTGCTCCTTCTCTGTGTCCTCCTCCCCATCCTCCTCCTCCTCCGCCTCCTCCTCCTCCTCCTTTTTCTCCCGCTCCACCACTCGTCCCCCCCCACATCCGCTTCTCTCTCCTCGCCTATCCTTCGCCCTCCACCCGGCGCCTTTCGGGAGCCCCCAGAGGCCCGGGAAGGGCCAGGGACCTCCCGAATTTTCGAAGACTTCCGAAAACCACCGCAGGGCAGGGGCCAAATGTTTCAAGGCCACTAGGGATGGCGCGAACGACGAACATATGCAAAGCCTCAAGTACCAAGTTGCATGGCGCGAAGCGCCAATGCACCTTTGTTATATATATATATATACACATACATACATAGATCGATGTGTATACGTATGTACGTACATTTACATACATGCATTTAAACATGCAGACATACCGACCTACATACCTACTTACTGACATACCTACCTGCCTACCAACCGATCTACCGACCTACACATGCATACACACGTACGCATATACATACATACACACATACACACATGCGGACATACATACACACAAACATGCATGCATACATGCATATATACATTCACACATCCATCCATACATACATACATACATATATACATACGTACGTACGTACGTACGTACATACATACATGTACACATACATACATACGTACGTACATACATACACATACATACATACGTACACAGCTACTTTCAATGCGAGGCAGCCTCTGTCCCGGCCGCGTGGCCGATAGTGCCACGGATAGGCCGGTACACCCAAAGTCCGCCAGTGCTTAGGAGAACGCCCTGTGGAACACTGTGTGGCGGTATCCTTGTTTCTGACACAGCTACTTTCAGTGCGAGGCAGCCTCTGTCCCGGCCGCGTGGCCGATAGTGCCACGGATAGGCCGGTACACCCAAATTCCGCCAGTGTTTAGGATAACGCTCTGTGAAACACTGTGTGGCGGTATCTTTGTTTCTGGCACAGTTAGTTTTCAATGCGAGGCAGTTCCCCCTCCTCCGCCCTGTCTTGTTTCTGTCGTCGTTGGTCTGGTCCTCTTGCCTCCCCCTCCTCCTCTTCTGGATTGTGGCCGTTTTTCTTTTATTTTCTCCCAGCTGTGGCTGGGCAGCCAAAGGGCTGCAGGTGAGGTATTCTTCGACTTCCGATGTGACTGCACACGCTCGTGCCTGGCCGCCATCTGGGACTGCGGACGGTTCCCATGGGTGTTATGCGACTCATAACTCCTCGCTGCCATACTCCAACAGGTGCTCCTGTGCCGTCTCCCTCGTGTTCCTCTCTCCCTTCCCCCTCCCGGTTTCACCGATACGACTTGGAGTTATACGTATCGTCCTAGGTTGGGTTCCTAGGAAGGGGCAGAACAACTTTGCTCCACCTGTTGGCTCCGTTGTGCAGCTTTAGTTCTTCCTTCTTCCTTTTGCCTCCTCCTGCTCCTCCTCCTTTTTCCAGCCCGGGTCCGGGGCGATCGTGTTTTTGTCTCCGCTACGCTCTGCATTGCGGTCGGCTGCGATTGTGTGTCATTTAAGTGCGGTTGGGCGCCACAAGGGCTTCACACAATGCATGCTGTCCAATTTTGATAGCGCTGCGAGCGGTTTCGAATTCTGTCCGCTTCGATCCTCTCTGCTTTCCTCCTTCTTCTCCCCCCCCCAAAAAATACATACGTACGTACATACATACATCCACACATCCACACATACATACATACATACATACAGACAGACAGACAGACAGACAGACAGACAGACAGACAGACATATATACATACATACGTACATACACATGCACACATGCATATGCATACATGCATACATGCATACATACATGCATACATGCATACATACATAATATATATATATGTATATATATATATATAGATATCGGAGGTGAGGGGGTGAGATCGAAGTGGAACGGAGAGCCCCCCTACCGGGAAATCGATTTCGGTTTCGTGTTCGTGCGTGCCGTGCGTGCGGGCGAGGCGAAGCTGCGTGGGCGGGCGAGAGAAAGTCTCCTGTGGCTGAGGCGCGGCCGGACCAAATGTCTCCCTTCCGGGCGGCCCCGGGCCCGCGGTGTCCCGCCGGTGTCCCGCTGGTGTTCCGTGTGGCTGAGGCGCGGCCGGACCAAATGTCTCCCTTCCGGGCGGCCAGGGGCCCGCGGTGTCCCGCCGGTGCCCCGTCGGTGTCCCGATTATGGTGATGATATTGATGATGATGATGATGATGATGGTGATGATGATGACGATGTTGATGTTTTGTTTCGATGATCGATAGTGAGATCGGTAGTGATATCGACTGTGAGATCGAACATGAGATCGAATGTCAGATCGCTTGTGAGATCGATTGTGAGATGGATTGTGATACCGAATGTGAGATCGATAATGACATCGATAGTGAGATCGATTGTGAGACCGAATGGGATATCGATTGTGAGATCGATTGTGATATCGATAGTGAGATCGATAGTGAGACCGAATGTGAGATCGATTGTGGAATCTATTATGAGATCGATCGTCAGATCGATTGTGAGATCGATCGATTGAGTTAGTAGTGGGATCACTATCGGTAATGAGATCGGTAGTGATAGCGATAGTGAGATCGATGATGCGACCGAATGTGAGATCGATTGTGAGTTCGGTTGTGATATCGATAGTGAGAGCGATAGTGAGATCGATAATGAGATCGAAAGTGAGTTCGATAGAGAGATCGATAGTGAGGCCGAATGCGAGATCGATTGTGAGATCGATTGTGATATCGATAGTGAGATCGATAGTGATACCGAATGTGAGATCGATAATGAGATCGATAGTGAGTTTGATAGTGAGATCGATAGTCAGATCGAATGCGATATCGATTGTGATATCGATTGTGAGATCAATAGCGAGACCGAATGTGAGATCGATTGTGGGATCGATTGTGAGATTGATTGTGAGATCGATAGTCAGATCGATTGTGAGATCTATCGATTGAGATCGATTGTGAGATCGGTAGTGAGTTCGATAGTGAGATCAATCGAGTGCGACGTTGGTCCCTCCCCCCCCTCACCTCCTTATCACCCGAAGGGTGGTCTATGCGGTATATATATATAAACACTTACACGAGAAAGAGCGCTTCCTGCGGGCGCTTGGAGGGTGGGGTGGGGTTCGAAACCGGGTTCCTGCCCGCCCCCCCCTGGATTCAACGGGGGAGTGGTTCGAACAGCCCCAGGGAGGGGGCGGGGGTTTTGAATCCCCCCACCGAGCGCGGGGGGGGTGTCGAATTCCCTCCCCAGGGGAGGGGCGGGGTTGTTCGACGGCGCCAGATGGTCGGGGGGGCGGGGCCCACTCCCCGCTCCAAACGCGCCGCCGAATGTTTGTGGAATATCCATACCATGATTTGATTGTCGAGGATCATGACTGTCTCGATGAGCGGTAAACGTTCGTCGGGCATTTGTTCCCTGGGTAATTTTGACTAACCAGTGTTTGTTCTCGAAGGGTAGCGTTCACTCTTGTTGTGCCACGTCGTTCACGCTCCTGCGCCATTGTGCTGGGTCTCGGTGTACTGCAGTTGCGTTGACGTTCGGTGTGTCTGCATTACTTCGGCTTAGACGGTTTTGCATGAATGCCGTTTTCTGGGGGACCTATCCATCTAGGCGTTTCGAGCAGGACGGCCGCAATGGATCCCCCTTGATTGGTACACGAAGAAGGTAGTTTACTTTGATCATCCTTGCGGTTGCTCTGTTTTTGCTGCTGGGTTTTCACGATCGCAGGTAGTGGCATGAAGCAAGTCTTTTGCGTCTCATAGGCACGGCTCATGTCAGTGATCGGTTTGGTTCATGGACTTTAATTCCAACAGGAATTCATGCGACACATGAGCGACGGAACACGACGAGGTCGATTGCGCGGACATTCGCGCGTAAGTTTCTCGCGTAACGTCGCGCGCGAGCGCCCTCTTCTCACGCGGTGTTCTACGCTGGCCGCCCGTGTGAGCCGTGGCGTAAAGTCGCTGTGGAATCGTGTGTGAGCCGTGGCGCAAAGTCGCTGTGGCATCGTGCGTAAGGTCCATTTGTTTTCGTCGCTCACATGGGCTCGGGCCCACTGATCTATGGGGTCGCAAAGCTTCCACTGCTCACTGGATGAATTCCCGTTCAGGCCCACGAGTTTCTTTGAGGTCCGACGCTGCGGGAAAAGGCAACATCGCGAAAAGTCACAGCCGCAGCCCCAGACCCCATCTGCCTACTGCATCTTGAGAGCCAGACCGATCTGTGCTGGTCCCTTGGTCCACACTTGGAGGTAACGCACGGCGGGAAAACAAGGCGCCGCCCCCACGGTCAGCCGGTCAGCCCGGTGAGCCCCACGCGCTTCGCGTGGGGCTGACCGGGTTGAGGAGGAGGAGGAGGAGGAGGAGGAGGAGGAGGAGGAGGAGGAGGAGAGTAGAGTAGGAGGGGGAGGGGGGGGAGGAGGAGGGGGAGGGATGGGGAAGAGGTGTGATGGATGGGGATGCAGCATCACCCGTCACCCCACACCGCCCCACGCGCTTCGCGTACACCCCTCCGCTTGCTTCTCCAGGTGGGCCGGCCGGTCTGCCCTGCCAGCCCCGGGGGGGGCAGCCCCCGCGCGTTCCCCGGCCATGGCGCCCACGCGGATGGACGGCGAGCTGCTGGAGAGGCTGCGGCGGCTCGAGGCGAAGGCCAGGGGGCGGCGTCGAGAAGAGACTTCGAATGCCATGGCTCAGAGGAGGGAAAGGTGCCGATGCCGCTCCCACTCCTTGCTCGTCGCCTCTTTGGGACCACCTGGGAGGCCCCCGTCGCCACGGCCAGGTCCGCCTCGAAGTCCGGGTCAGACCGCACCCAAGGGGAAGTCCTGGGAGTAGCGGTGTCGATACATGCGGAATTGTTTGTAAGGCCTCCATTTTTCCGCAACGTCGGATCTCAAGACCTTCACTCTGCTCCGGCGACCGCGCCTATCGAATTCTGCACTTGCACGATTCCGCCGCTGCAGTCTCCCGCCCACGCCGCGACTGGTCCGGTGCGTCAGCCTGCCATCACTCTTCATCTGGGCTCCTCTTGCATCTGTCCTCTGCCCTTGCTATCCCTTCCCCGTTGCGTTTGGGGAGAAGCAGCGTGTATTTGCGTGTCTGTGCGAGTGTTTGCGTGTGGTGCGCTGTTGCACGCTTCTCGTCTCTGCCTGCCCAGTATTTCCTTTACCTGGTAAGTATGCACAGGAATCGGCGGCACGTAACTGCGTTCGTGGACCGTTTATCGCGCGTCTCGGCTTAGCCTCCTGCTGGGATCTCCGGCGCTTCGCTTAACGTGGTTGACGGACAGTGTTTTCTGTGGGTTGTCGTAGATGGCAAGCTCGTCTTTACTTTTAGTTTTTCGCTTGGACACTTGAATTTGCAGGTCCATTGCAGGCGATGTTGGACAGCTGAGGAACAATTATGTTTATGAGCGTGATTTTGTTACGGGGCGGGTGTTAATTGTTGCCTTGATTAAGAATGCGTATGATGCTGTTTACGTCGCCATGTTCATCTTCATCATAATATTACACATCCTTGTGGCTCAAGCTTTGCTTGAGGGCAATGCTCACTGCACGTGGACTCGTTTGCCCAGTACTCGTTCTGGCATAAGTGATACCTTCACTGCGCGTGATAGCACTGAAATATTGTTTTCTACATATCTCCCACATCCTGCTTGCACATTGGCATTGCTTGTTGTCCGGCCAGCATCGAATCACGTCGGAAATCAAGAGCTGCCTGTGAAACGCATGGCTGCAGAGGCTCAATACTGGCAGTTCATGTGCGAACGTTTTGTTTGCTTTCCTTCACCACACACTTCACGACAGTTGCAGTCTAATGGTTCCTGTTCGATCTTTCTGGGAGACGCATGAAAGGAGCCCAATGAATATTGTAATCCACATTTCAAAACATTATTTAGTTCTTTGGTTCATTCACCACAAAGCCAACAACGCAACGATAAGCAAGCTGGGTAAATTGTTGCCCAAAGTATTTCATAGCGGCTCCTATACGAAAATCGGCCCAGCTAGGGGCATTGCCGGAGCGCTGCAAAACCTTCGTCCAACAGCGCGGCATCTGCCGCCTCGCCACGGCGAATGCTCCAGCACAGTCCGTGCAGCTGGTGTAGGTTCCACTTGTTGTTGCTGAATTTTGTGTGCAAGCCCCTTTGGGCGTGTTCTATCGTCCAGGAGATTCCTCTTAGCGGTACCACAGAAAGTGAGGGGTATGAGAGGTGGGGAGAGAGGGCTGGTGGAGAGAGCCATGTCCTTGATCGTCAAGTCCCCTGCCCCTCTCCGCGGCATCTCCCTTGAGCGCTTGCCTGGAGGTCATCGCCGAACACGCCGAGTTCGTTGATCATCGCTTGCAGGTGGAGCGAGCGCTCGAGGAAACGGCTTCCTGGAGAAATCGGGAGCAAGCGACGGTGGAGACATAGTAGCAGGCGTAGCAATCGCAGCGATAGTAGCGATAGTAGTAGTAGTAGTAGTAGTAGTAGTAGTAGTAGTAGTAGTAGTAGTAATAGTAGTAGTAGTAGTAGCAGTAGTAGTAGCAGTCGTAGTAGTCGTAGTAGTCGTAGTAGTCGTAGTAGTCGTAGTAGTCGTAGTAGTAGTAGTAGTAGTAGTAGTAGTATTATAGTAGTTAGTATTAGTAGTAGTAGTAGTAGTGTGTTAGTGGTAGTAGTAGTATAGTAGAGTAGTAGTAGTAGTAGTAATTATAGTATGTGGTAGTATTTGTAAGTATGTAGTTATGTAATAGTATGTATAGTAGTAGTAGTATAGTAGTAGTAGTAGTATGAGTAGTAAGTAAGTAGTAGTAGTCGTAGTAAGTAGTAGTAAGTAGTAGTAAGTGTAGTAGTAGTATTATAGTCGTGGTAGTAGTAGTAGTAGTAGTAGTAAAGTAAGAGTAGTAGTAGTATGTAGTGTGTTAGTAGTGGTAGTAGTTGTAGTAGTATAGTATAAAGTAGTAGGTAGTAGTAGTAGTAGGAAGTAGTGTAGTATAATAATAAGGAGTTGTAGTAATAGTATAGCAATACTAGTAGTAGTAGAGTAGTATAGTAGTGTAGTAGTCGTAAGTCGTATTAGAAGTCGTAGAGGAAGAAGTCGTAAGTAAGTAGTAGTATAGTAGTCGTAAGGTATTATTAGTAGTAGTTGTTGTAGTCGTAGCAGTCGTAGCAGTCGTAGTAGTAGTAGTAGTAGTAGTAGTAGTAGTAGTAGTAGTAGTAGTAGTAGTAATAGTAGTAGTAGTAGTAGTAGTGGTAGTAATCATAAATAGTAGTAGTAGTAATAGTAAAAGGAGTAGTAGTAGTAGTAGTAGTAGTAGTAGTAGTCGTAGTAGTAGTAGTAGTAGTAGTAGTAGTCGGAGTCGTAGTCGTAGTAGTAGTAGTAGTAGTAGTAGTAGTAGTAGTAGTAGTAGTAGTTGTAGTTGTAGTGGTAGTAGTCGTAGTAGTAGTAGAAGTAGTAATCGTAGAAGTAGTAGTAGTAGTAGTAGTAGTAGTAGCAGTAGTTAGTAGGGGGTAGTACTCTAGCTGTAGTAGGGGGAGTAATAATAGTAGTCTAAGTCGTCGTCTCGTCGGCGTCGTCGTCAGTCGTAGAGGAAACGAAGTAGGAGTTGTGTCGTAGTCGTAGTATTAGTAGTAGTAGTAGTAGTAGTATAGTAGTACACTAACTATAGTAATCGTATTGTAGTAGTAGTAGTAGTAGTAGTAAAGTAGTAGTATTAGTATGTCGTAGTAGTCGTAGTAGTAGTAGTATAGTAGTAGTAAGTCGTAGTAGTGGTAGTAGTGGTAGTAGTAGTAGTAGTGGTAGTAGTAGTAGTAGTCGTCGTCGTAGTAGTAGTAGTAGTCGTAGTAGTAGTAATAGTTGTAGTGGTAGTAATAATAATAGTAGTAGTAATAGTGATGGTAGTTGTAGTCGTAGTAGGAGGAGGAGGAGGAGTAGTAGTAGTCGTAGTAGTAGTAGTAGTAGTAGTAGTAGTAGTCGTAGTAGTCGTAGTAGTCGTAGTAGTAGTAGTAGTAGTAGTAGTAGTAGTAGTCGTAGTAGTAGTCGTAGTCGTAGTCGTAGTCGTAGTCGTAGACGTAGTCTTAGTCGTAGTCGTAGCCGTAGCCGTAGTCGTAGTCTTAGTAGTTGTCGTAGTATTAGTCGTAGTAGCAGTAGTAGTAATAGTACTGAGCCTGAGCCCACCGTCTTTCTGGTTTTGCTCTTGTTCTTTATCATTGCTGTTTCCGTTTCATCTCTGTGGGGGGAGAAGCCGGATCTTCTCCGAGGGATTGCGGTGAGGAGCGTGAGGGCTAGGAGGAGAAGAGAAGGCGGAGGGAGGAAACGGGATGAGGGAAGGCGTCGAGGAGGAGGGCGAGAATGGATGGAGGTGATGGAGAAGGAGGGAGCAGGAGGAGGATGAGGAGGGTTGATGGAAATCAGACATCCTGGTCTCATGTTGCTCATTGTCAGCCCATACGCAATGCGCCACAGCCAATACGAAGCAAAACCAAGCAATGCGAGCAATCTCAAGCAATGCTAACCAATGCCAAACATCGCCAATCAACGCGAATCAATGCCAAGCAGTGCCACTTCGGAAACTTTTTCCTAATTGAGGTCGCGTCGGGTTTATGTCGAGGGCTTGCGCTTAGCGTCAAGGCTGTTGGTCAGAGTGTCAGGGTTACAGATTTCAGTCAGTAGCGTATTAAGGTTCGGGGGGTTAGGGTTACGGAAATAGGGCTAGGGTGTTTAGTGTCAGGATGCGTGATGAGGGTTAGGGTAAGGTATTAGGACCAGGGTGGGGTTGGAGGGTTTTGGTGATAGAGCTTGGGTTTTATGATCAGGGCTCAGGGTTTCAAGGGGGAGGGGGCAATTTCACCCCCCAGCCCGAAATGCAAAAGGGATTCCTGGATGCGCGTTTGGAACTGCGGGGGGATGGGTCCGGGACGACCTGTCGGAAAAGAGGGGGGTCGGACTGGACAGTGGACCTGAGGGAAGGGGGGAGAAGGGGGGGGAGTCGTCCAACCCACCCCTTTTTTATTTCCACCAGCAGAGCGCCCTCTTACGTCAGGCTCGACGCGCGCAGCCACTGTGCTTTGTCGTCCTCCCCATTATCCGGCTCCTCGTTTCTCCGCACAGTTGTGGAGGACGATCAATGGAGACGAAGCGTGCTGCCAAATAATTTCCAGATGTCTACAGATGTTTAAAAACATGTTGCAAACATGTGGAAAAGACATGTTTGAGACATGTTTAGAACACTTTTCCGTCATTTACAACACATTTCAAATTCAAGGATAGGACTGTTAGGGTGTCCGTTGTCGTGGCATCCACCACCTCATTATCCGGCCCCCCGTTTCTCTCCACAGACAGGACCTTGGCATCGCTCGGACGTGTGCATTTCTTCTCGGCGAGAACCCTCGAGGACCCTCCTGGACCATCGAGCCAAAAAATCCACGAACGAGACCGAAAAAATGCACGGGAGATGGACGTCCGAGCGACGGCTAGTTTCTCTCTACAGCGCCGGTTTAATACATGTTCCGCGTGCGGGCCATGTATCAAAAAAAGGGTTGATTAGTAAGTACAAGGATGAGTTCATGCGTTGATTTATTCATAGATGAATATTATGTATTCCTATAGTTTAAGAATTCCCATTTATTAGAATCCTGTATATATACACCTATTAACAACTCGTGTACATTAAAATCCGATATATTAAACCTTCCTATCTATTAGAAATCCTATGTATTAAAACCTGCCCTGTACGGACAGGACCTGAACGGGCGGCTGGGGCGCGCCGCGCAGCTGGCGCGCGACACCTACAACCAGCAGGTGGAGCAGCAGGCCCTCGCGGCCCGGGTGCTCTGGGGCCGGCCTCGCGGGGGTGTGGCCTCCTCCTCCTCCTCCTCCTCCTCCCTCGTCCTCCTCCTCCTCCTCCTCCCTCCTCGTCCTCGTCCTCCTCCTCCTCCTCCCCTCCTCCTCCTCCCTCCTCTCCTCCTCCTCCTCCTCCTCCTCCTCTCCTCCTCCTCTCCTCCTCCTCCTCCTCCTCCTTCCTCGTCCTCCTCCTCCTTCTCGTCCTCCTCCTCCTCCTTCTCCTCCTCCTCCTCCTCTTCCCCCTTCTCCTCCCTCATCCTCCTCCCCCTTCTCCTCCTCCCTCATCCTCTCCTCCTCCTCCTCCTCCTCCTCCTCCTCCTCCTCCTCCTCCTCCTCTTTGTCCTCGTCCCCCCCTTTTCCTCCTCCTCCTCCTCCTCCTCCTCCTCCTCCTCCTCCTCCTCCTCCAAGAGGGATAGACTTCTAGGCTGACGGAAAGGCGGCATCGCTCAAACGTGTGCATGTTTTCTCGGCGAGAACCATCGAGGACCATCCTGGACCGTCGAGCAGAAAGAAACACGCACGAGACCGACAAATGCACGGGAAATGGACGTTCGAGCGACGGCAAGGAGAGGACAGGGTGGCCGCGACCAGGAGGGATAGGCTTCTAGGCCGATGGAGGGACGGGCAGGGGAACAGGCAGGCAGACCGACCGGCAGGCAGACAGGCAGGCAGGCAGGGACAAGCGGGTACACACACAAACAGGCGGAGAAAGACCGCGAGACAGAGATTGGAAGCGAACGGGCGAGAAGCCACGCTCGTTGATGTTCTCAAAGCTTTGGCGGGGTCGTGGCCTCTCCAGGGCGTCCTTGAGAGCCCCCTTGGCCCACGGCCCTTTTGGACCCGTCTTGGAGCGGTTTTGGGTTACTCAGGAGGGAAAAAAACACAGACACAATTAATCGCCGATTCCTTAGAAAATATAGGAAAATATGGGAAGTGGGGGGGAAGACAAAAACCCAGAAAATATGGGAAACTATGGGGAATCCTTTTATTTCTGTGTATTTATTTGTGTGTCCTGGGGCCCCTTCAGTTACCTTTTGGAGAATGTTGGAAGCCCTCTCGAGCGACCTTGCACTATCTTGGGCCATCTTGGAGGCTATCTGAACCATCTCGGAGCTATCTTGGGCTATACCTTGGGCCTTCTGACCGCTCGCCGCCCCCGCCCGTCCACGCCCAAGGAGAGGGGGGAGGGGAAGCTCCTCCTCCTCCTCCTCCTCCTCCTCCTCCTCCTCCCCCTCCCCTCCTCTTCCTCCTCCTCCTGCTCCCTCCCCATCCCCCTCCTCCTCCTCCTCCTCCTCCTCCTCTTCCTCCTCCTCCTCCTCCTCCTCCTCCTCCTCCTGTGGTCAAAACATGTGTCCCAGATGCACACTGCTCGGCTCACTCCCACCCGCCCCCCCAACACATGAGTGGCACCCCGAGCCTCAGCATGTCGCCCAGGAGCGCCACGCATGCCATGTGCGCCACGGGTTCCATGTGCACCAGGCACCCCGGCGGCCCCACGCGCTCTCCGGCTGCGCCGGGTGCGCCAGGCGCCCGGCGCGCGCAGAGTGTGCATGAGGGGGGTTTAATCGGCTACAAGTAGGTAAGCCGCATGAGGGTCGCCCGTCGTTCGTCCGTTGTGCGGCGCTAGTGGGTAAGTCGCCCAGGCCCGCGCCGTCGTTCGTCGCGGACACCACTTGTCCTGGGGGCGCGCCACTCGTCGTTCCTCGAAGTCAACGTCGTGGCGCGCGTTTTCCGTCGTTTGTCGACGTTCGGGCGAATAGGATTCCAATGATATCCCCATAGACGTCCAATAGGACCTCTATTGGGGTTCCAATCGGATGGAATAGGACCTCATAGTTCCGAAACGCCCTCATCGAATTCCAAGTGGATGCAAAAGTTCTCCTCGCGGGACCCAAGCGGACGTCCCTCAGATTCCAGTCTGATATTGGTAGGAGACGAAAACGTTGGAGTAGGTTTCAAGTATCGCGCAAACATGAACCTCATGTGCTCCCAATGGATGGCAAGAGGGCCCGAAGTACGGTTCCAGTAGGGAGCTCAATGATATTGCTACCCCGACGACAAGTATTAATATTACCACTGCTGGTGCTACTACCCGTCTATTACTGGCGCCCCTCGTACTACCACCACTGTTATTACCACTAGGACTACCACGACAGCTACTTCTACGGATACTGATGCTATTACTGCTATTCGTTTTACGACTACTACGACGACGACGACGACGACGACGACTACTACTACTACTGTTTTTAATTATCCGGTAAGTGTTTTGGAACAGTGCCGTCGCTATTGTTTAAAGTGGTTGAGATGTGGCGAATTGCTTTTCGCTGTTTTTTTGCCGGAGTTGGTTTGTGTGGGTTGGTTCGGCCGTTTTTTTTCGTATCAGTGGGTAAGTGATTGGATTTTTTTTTGTTTGCGTTGGTTTTGTTTGATTCATGGGTTAGATGTATATAAAGGGGAGTGATGTGTTTTTAGCGAAGTGTAATCCAATATTTATTTAATTGCTCACCCGTTTGAAGTTAGTAGTTTGGGTTTCGTTGGTTGTTCGCTTGTCGTTGAAGCAAAGTAGTTACTTCTGGAGTTTGATTTTGTCGTTCATTTTTCGGAGAGGGTAGGTATGTATCCACGAGGTTTGTTGTTTGTCGTTTATTCAGGGACTTAAGTATCACGATATTTGAGATTGTTCGTCGTTTTTCATGCGATGTAACTTGAATAGCTTAGAGACCCCTCTCATGAGTGTGCCAGGCGTCCCACTGAACTGCCGTCATCGCTACAGGGTGCCCATGCAAACCCCAATCCTCCTTCTCCTCCTCCTCCTCCTCCTCCTCGTTCCTCCTCCTCTCTCCTCCTCGCTCCTCCTCCTCCTCCTCCTCCTCCTCCTCCTCCTCCTCCTCCTAAGTGCCTGGGGCCCCGGCACAAAGGAATTCATGATCTTGGACCCTCCTGAAGCGACGTGCCGAGCATTTTGTGAGAAGGGTGGCTCCTCCGGGGAGCGAAAAGCACAGGCACGGGTGGACAACATGCGATATCTTGGGGAACGTGGGGGCACTTGAGATCTCAGAGACAAGATCGCTTCCAAGAAGAGGACAAAAGAGATGTCGTCATCAACCAAAGTGATTGCGGGGTGCAAAGTGCATTTCGAATGTGTAGTGTGCTGGCAGGCATGGTCGGCCTGCGCGCAGCAGGCAATGTGCCGGCCGGCACGCCCGCCGTCCCTGTTCAGAGCCATGCAAGGTGGTCACGGGGCGCTGGCGCATGCTCCAGATTTGGAGGCACGTTGTATTCTGTGTGTTTGCTGACGGAGGGTGGCCCTGCGCGCAGCAAGCAATATGCCTCGCACGCCCGCCGTCCCTGTCAACAAGCCAGTGCAGCGTGGTCTCGGGGCGGCCGCGCCAGCTCCTGACTTGGAGGCGCATTACACGTCGGTCGTTGAAAGTAGGTCTTTGTGGATTCCCAGATCCCAATCTACTTCTAGCGCCTTCCTACTTGAAGAACCGATATGTTTTGGATGTGTTTTTTAATTCTCTGGGAAGGCCTGAACCCAACCTACTTCATCCGCCTTCCTACTTCATGTGTTTACCTACATCTTCCGACCGACGTGTACATGTTGTAGCGTTTTTGACAGGGATGGTGGGGTGGTGTGTTGGCATGGGTCCAGGTTGGCTGGCCGTTCGGGTGGGTGAGGGGGAGTCTGTTGATACGGCGCAGTGATGAGCCCCTCCCCGCGGGGGAAGAAGGGGTGTGGAAGATGTTTGAAGAGTGAACGCTCTAAACCACCTACGGTCTGAAGAGCCGGTGGGGCCTGGGGCCCTCCTGTTGTGGCTCTCAAGAGGCCCTTGAGGGAACTGTTGGGGCCTCCTCGGAGGCCATCGATCAAAAAGAGGCTCCTCAATTAGCTTTGATCTCTGGGAGCCTGGAAAGTTGCCTTTTGGATGGACCTCTCTTGGGGTGCTCTTGGGAACCTTTGGGACTCTTCTAGGTCTCTCTTGGGGCCGTCTTCGAGCCGTCTTGAGACACCCGGAGGCAAAGATCCCAAGGGGCTCCTGCATGGTCAGTTAGCCAGGGCTTTCGCTTGGTGGGCACCCGCGGCTGCCTCCGTGGGCGCCTCGTGCTGACTGGGAGCTCTGGGCGTTCGCCTCGCAGGTGCCCCCGCGGTCGCCTCGTGAGCGCCCCCTTATTGGCTGGGGTGTCCTGGTTCTCGCCCGGCAGGTGCCCCGTGGTCGCCTCGTGGGCACCTCCTGGCTGGCTGGGAGGCGCTCGCGCGGCGGCCGCGGCCGCCTCGGGGGCGCTTCGTGCGCTGGCTGCACCGCGCAGCTTGCAGCACACAGCTTGCACCGCATGGCTTGCACCACGCAGCCTGCGTCACATAGCTTGCGCCGCACGGCTGACGCCACACATCTTGCGCCGCGTGGCTTGCAGCTCATAGCTTGACACTTCCCCTCTAGGGTATGGGCCTTGTCGGGCCCAGATGGTTTTTCATGAGAAACTCTCCTTCGCTCAAATCATGTGTTTGGCATGGTCGGGCGCGTCTACCTTGGGATCCAAAGTCCATACCTCATGGCCCGTGGGGCCTGGTGAATGGAGGGCCATGGATGTGCCTGTGCCCGCTGAGTGTGCCGTGCCGCGAAGTCGGTGCAAGCTATGTGACATAGCTTGCACCAGACTTCTTGCACCACACAGCTCACACCATATGCCGCGTAGCCTGCACCACACAGATGGCACCACACTGCTGCCACCGCACAGCAGTAGCTTGCAACACACTGCTTCCACCA